TTCCCACCGGCACCCCCTGAAAACAGGGACCTCCCCCCCCCCAGGCGAAACCAAAAAGCGGCAGACCGCGTAAGAACGGGCGCTTTCGCCTCCAGCCGCGAGCGCGCAGGTTACGCCGATTCTCTTTTTCTGACCCCCCCCCCCCCCAGCCCCCGGGAAGGGAGAAATCCGAGCGAAAGAGGAGCGAAAAGCTCCGCCCTTTCAGCTCCTGCGTGGATTTTTCCAGGTTTTATGTTAGGGAACTTGGGAAAAAAAGTGTCCTTTTTTCCCAAAATTCTTTTCCCCCCTCCTTCCCTCCACGTTGCAGCTCCTTTTTTTCGCCTCGCCCTCTCCTTGGCTGGGAAGGACAAGGATTCGGGGTGGGGGGAGAAGTCAGAAAAAGAGAATCGGCGTAACCTGCGCGCTCGCGGCTGGAGGCGAAAGCGCCCGTTCTTACGCGTTCTGCCGCTTTTTGGTTTCGCTTGGGGGAGGCTAGGTCTCTGTTTCCAGGAGCTTCCAGTTGAAAATGGCCACTTGAAATCACGGAGGGGGAACTGTGAGAAATGCCTTTACCAGCGTGTAAAAGCAGGGTGGCGGAGGGTTTTCCCCAGCACAAGGCTATTGAGATTGTCCGGAGTGTTAACAATAGCAACAGTAGCATTGCTTCTGTAAACATAACCTGCTGTTTGAAGAGGGGGAAAGCAGAAAACCTTGCAAATGGTTGCCAGCGATCTTGAAAGCTGCTGATTCCCCCCCCCCGCCCCTCTCATTTTTATGATCTCCACAATTTTGTGAGAAGGGGTTGGGCTGAGAGCTGGCAGTCGCCGGGGAGTGGCAAGCTTGGGGAGAGATCTGAACCCGGATCTCCTTGAGTTAATCACTCCGCTCTGAATTTCACTTCCCCTGCCTTTTTTAAAAGTTTATTTTATTTGTTTACTTTGGTAGGAGCAATGCCCGAAGGAGGACAAGGCGTAAGGGAACAGTTCTAAGAAAGAAACAAACAGGGGGAATGCTACTGATTTTCATGCCTCCCCCAACTCTCTGTGGATATTGAGATGAGCTGGGCCTTTCTGGGGCTTTCTTTTTTTTGGCTAATGAGGGCTGAAATGGAGAAGTTTTACTTTCAGATTTCCCATGGTCCCCAAGGTGAAGGGATGGGCAAAGCATCTTTGGTTGGGTTTCTGCCTGTTCATAGCAGAAGGCCCTCTCTGCAGGGATCAGAAGACGCCTTGCGTGGGCAAACGCTTCTGAACATGGCAGAGATTTGAAGGGCGCATTGAGGCCGTGGTCGTAAAACTGGGGAGTGGAAGAAAAGGTGCACAGAAGAGATGGCCCACTTTGCATTTCTTTTGGAAATGATCCCTTGTAGATTAGGGTTCCCCCCCCCCATTTGTTCTCCTTTCAAGGAGCTTGGGAAAAGCTCTGAGCAAAACTTAAAAAAAAAGTCCTCAGGCATTGCCACTGACACACGATTCTCTTTCCTTCTTCCCCCACACCTCGACACACCTTGTTTCTGGGACTGGCAGAAGGAGGCTTGATCCTGGGTGGAGCTGAGGCTTGACTTTCAGCATTCCTCACTGGGCACTGTTTCAGTCCAGGAGAGGTTGGGAGCCCTGTTCTGAATTCTTGGGGGGGGGCCTGGCATGGCAAAAAAAAAAAAATGAATGAATGCCGCGCCTGGAATGGCTGGAACCAGTGCGGCGCCTCTGAGCATCTACAGAAGATACACGTGTCTCCATCTCTGACTTCTTTAAGGCAATGGTGGACACGTGGAGTAGACGCCTACTGCCTGTCTTGTGAACCTGTCATGCCAAGCCGTTGTCAACTTGAGCCATGATTTTTTTTAATGCTCTTGGGGCAATTGTGCCCCAAGTCACAGTGGGATTTTTTTGGGCATAACAGTTTGAGTGAATTCAGCCTGTTCGGTGCAGGCAGGTTGCGCGCAGCAATTGAACCTATGTGATTTTACCCACCCATGCCAATCTGGGTGTTTTCTTCTTAATCAGGCCTGCTGGCAAAACGATCCTTCTCTTTTCTTCTCTGGCTTTTGGGGCTGCGGAAATCTTTTCAGAAGGGCGGTTCCTCTCCTCCCAGACAGGACTCTTTGGGAGCCAGTTTTCTGGCTTCGGCACAATGGCCGTCTTGCACGTCCTGATCGTGCACTGGGGGGGAAATGGAAGTGAAAGGCTGGGCTAATTGCTCCTGGCAGTTACTGGATTGACCCTAACCAGGCAGAGGGGTCAAGGAAGGGATCAGCTGTCTGAGATGCTGTGTCTGTATCTCTTCAGGGTGTCTTCCCCCTCCACTGCCCTCCTCTCTGATAGCCAGTTAGCAGTCTGCCCTCAGGGCCTGGTTCTCTGTCTGGCCTCTCTTAAGCTTGACTTCCATTTTTTTCCCCCCCTTTCATTCTGCACCTAACTTGGGGAAGGGCCCTTGGGCAAAACAGAACTCAAAGTGGGGATCAGGAGGGCCACCCAGGGGATTCTCCTGGATGTCAGTTGCCCCTCTCAGCTGCCCGGCACTCCATGCAACTCCGATTCTTCACCAGGCACCTCCTCCATATCTAGTGTGCAATACAAAGCTAAATTTATGGTTATTGTAAGTAGAACAAAGGGTGTCTTGGTAGATACGGGTGGATTTCTCCCCCCAGTGCCTCTTTTTAGTTTTGTTTTTAAAGGCATCTGCCTCTTTGGGGTAAAGGCTGGTCTAGCAAAGCAGAGCGTGGAATTGTTGCAATGGGATGGGGGTTTTTTTTGGGGGGGGGGTTCCTAATTTTCCTGAAAGGATAACTGTTTTTATTTTTCTTTAGAATTGTTAAGCGGAGACGATTTAACTGCTCCGTGTCTGTTTCCAAATGGAAATAACCCTGGATTTTTTAAAATGGATTTTTCACTAAGAAATTTAGCACGCTGCTTTAGTGGCAGGCAGGCAGGGCGTATAACCTTTCAGATCCCTCCATTGCTACTCAGATCTTTCCAGTCTCCAGCGCCTGATTCTTTTATCTGGGAATCACACCAAGGATTTGCTGTTGCACACAAAGCACGTTCTCTGCTGCTGAAGGATGACCCCTTCCTGAATGACACTGAAGCACCTGGGTTATCCTGCCTGTCTTCATGGAGCCCTTGGAGGCGCTAGGCTACGTGACCTCTAATATCCTTTCAGCTCTTTGGCCTGCTTCTTACGTCCTGCCAAGCCATGGTTTGCTTACTGTGATTTATTGAATAACCCACACTGGCTGAGTTTATACAGCTTGCCAAAGCGAAAGCAAACGGCGCGACCTTGGAGTTGGTGGGATTCGTGACCGCCGTCTGCGAAGCCCCCTGAGATCATGGCTGAACCCTGTGTTGGGTTAGACTGGAAGGCCTGGGTGTCCTCCCAGCCCTTTGCTTCCATGAGAAGTTTCTGGGCCTGTTCAGAAGCTGTGCTGCCATAGAAGTCAAGGTTCCCCATCGCCAGATGTCTCCTCTGCTGAGTCTCCTGAATGTTGCAACTGAAGGTTTCCTATGATGACTCAGGCAGCTCATGAGTGAGTGGAAGAAATGAGTCGTTCCCTTAGTGGGAAAGGATTGGTCACTCAAGAATCTCCTGGTGTTTTTCTAAACCGTTCTGTGCAAGTGGGCATTCTCTCTTCCCCCATTCGAAAACTGCACGGAGGATCTTGCAAACGGCGTATGAGTTATCCTTATCCAGCAGTGGGTCTGGTGGCCGCCTGCCCCCTTGTCATATTGGGGTCACTCATGTCTGAACAAATCAATGGACTGCTTAGCAAACATTCCCAGACCTGGGACAGTGTCATTCCCAGAAACGGATCCCAGCAATCTTCGACTTCTTTTTAGCGTTTAGGGTTCTGCTCTTGCTTGTTCCTTTCCTTCCTCCTCCGTGTCCCAACAAGCTCGATCTTTATGGGAGGAGGAATTTCATTAGAGAGCCTGATTTATCTGCATCTCTCTTTGCACATTGTGCTCAAGGGCGCACCCTGAAATGATGGGTGGTGAACATGATGAGCGCAGCTAGGTTTGCAGACATGCAGATAGCAGATGGGTGATACAGCTGCCAAATTCAGGTGTTGCAACCCCAACGTGGGATTCTGAATGTATCTCTCGTTCTTCTAATATGATTATTTATGTAATGCCCATATAAACTTGAGTCTTGTAGTTATCAGAAGACACAAGGCATATACTCCTATACTCATTCTAGGTATTTTGGTCTAAATGTGGCTTAGAATTAAGTGCCCAGGTGCACAGTTCAGGAAGCTGTAGCTTAAAAGCTCTTTTCTGGCTTCTTGGCTTTCAGAAGCCACGTTTTATTCACTAACCACCATTTCTTGGCTTAAACTATCAAGCAGATGGTCATTTCCCACAACACCCAACTTTTCATACTACTTCAGTTGTGGCAATGTGTGAATTCAGTGTATGGTTGTTGCTATTTCTACAAACAGCTTTTAGAGATGCCTGTTGAGCAATGCCATAGCTGTAAAACAATTTAAAACGATGAGTTAGTAGAATCTGGTTTGCTGGTTGTCCAGAAACCATAGTTTTTCCATCATTTTTGCATGTGGGCAACATACTGAACTGGGGTTAGGTTTCTTTCATATCAGCTGGGTTCAGCCACCCAGTGTTATGTATTTCAGATGGGTGACCGTATAAATCTTCTAAATAAAATAAATTAGGCTTTGCTTAGAGCTCGGGACATTATATGAAGCCATCCAACTGTGGTTCGTTCATGGTTAAGCAAACTTCCGCACAGAGCATTATGTAGACACAGTTTATGGTTGCAGGCAGTGCATTGTTCTAAATCATAATCGTTTTATTTGGTTAGGGCTTAGTATATTGGTGAACCCAGCCCTGAAATTTATGAATCAGATCCATAGTTTGGATTTGGAAATGTATGAATGCATCCATAGTTTGCAATCATGCTTTAACAAAATCTAGGTACATATTTTCTTGAGGAAGAAATTAACCCTTGAAGTTGAGCGACCGCAATGGCAAGAGTCATCTTCGTCTTATGCCCATCTCTGTCATCAGCTTGGAGTGGTTTTTCTAAACATTTTAAGTCATTTTCTTCTTGCCTGGATTTCAGTCTGTTACTTTCTACTGCAGGACTGCTCTAACACTGGTTTCCCCCTCATCCTCCATGGAAGACTATCTGTGGAAGAATGGGATAAAATGTTTCTGTTTTTAGATTTATTCACTTGGAATGGGATGCCAAATGGACTGAATTTTTTGGAAGCTGTCTCTGTGACCGAGAGGGGAAGAAGTAAATGGATTTTTTACTCTTTGTCTTTCTCTGCAAATGCAATGTAGAATAATGGAAGCTGCCTTGGATGGCATCAGACTAGCTAGATTCCCAAGTCACACTGAGTCACCGTTTGCTTAATTACAGTTGGAATTAGATACATCACAACTGGTGTCACAGACAGGCTAAGCCGTAAATCATAATGGTTAGGTTCACACAAGTTGTTGCATCAAAACCAAACAGTCTACGTTATGGCTTGCTACATAAATCTAACAGATGAAATAAATGAATAGTTGGTGCAGATTTTGGCCCACGAGGTGCAAACTCTGGTTTCTGCTCATCGTTTGCTGTCCCGATGGTGAAATCATGGCTTGTCAGTTCAGCTGTTGAGCTTGTTTTCCTCCCTGTAGTTTAGCTGAACACATGATCTGAGCCACTATCAAAGAACAGTTTGTTAATCAGATTGGGGATTAACAGGCTTTTGTTTGCACAGCATGTTTAAACAGATCAGTTAAAAGCGTAGCATCTGCGTTCATACAATGTGCTAAGTTTGGTTAGCGTTACCCCTGGTTAGGTTTTTTTTCCTAAAGCTGGGTTAGCTTGCTGTACAAATCCAACTTGTTAAGTTAGTTAGGGGGAAGCTGCCGTTCTTTAGCCCTGAATGCTAATTTAATTGGACGCTGATACATTTATCCCCTGATTAATCCAGTTTTCCATCTCCATCTTGAGACTGACTTCGAACTGCACGCTGAAGCATCTGGTTTTGGCAGGCCTCTCCCCTGATGAAGATTCTGGAGAACTCAGAAACTTACACAAACTTAGGCTGAGTCCAAGGAAGTTATTACACAACTATGGATTTGGGGTTTGAATCTGAAACGATGCCTCAAGTGTTCCTCTGCTGTTTCCATCAGCACCCTCTTCGCTCTTCTGCAACATGGCTTGCATCTTCCTACACATGTAGTGACCAGAGAAGGACAAAGGTCCCAGCTGTGGTTGAAGCTATGCTAAGAAAAGCAGAATGAATTTCTTTTGCTTCTATAAAAGCTGCCACAGCTTCTTTTTAAATGTCAAGCAGAATGTGTCCCAGACTTACCCTTTAATCCATGAAGTTGGGAGAAGAACAGGCAGTCTTCCAGCTGTAGACTAGAGAGGCCCTGGGTTCATTTTGTGTTTATTAAAGGAACTTGATTAGTGTGTGCTTGACACTACTTGGCGGGGGAGGGGGTTGGCTATCATTCTGCTTTCTTGGCTCAAGTCATCCCATGTGTCTTTGACTCCGGCTGCCGTGTGAACCCAGCTGCAGAGCCCTGCAAACTGCGATTTATGGCTGAGAAGTTGGCTGTTCCTAACCGGTTCCTTGCCATTGGTCACGCCAGTTGGGTCTTCCAGAAATGGAACCTCCAAATATTGCAGTCGATAAACCCAACGTTTGGGGTTTACTGTGCTTATACGAATCCGCCGGTTGCCTTTTCCATCCCCAACCGTGATTTGAGTGACCCTAGCTAGGGAACGCTGGAGAAAAAAAATGGGTGGACAGCACTCCAGGAGTTTGTTCTCTCTCCTTGCCTGACCACTGACTAGGCTGGCTGGGTTGGGGCATGTCATAGTCCAAAACATTGTAAAGACAGCTCTGAGAATTGCCCAGTTGCAGCTGTTGTGTTGACTCTCCTTTCTAGCGTCAAAGTCCTCCTTTGGAAAGTTTTTTTTTTTAACCCCCCCTTGCCTTCGTTCTTTCTCCCCCTCTCTCCCAGTTCAGTCCTCAGCATTGTTTTTTATATACCTAATTTTTATTAAAGATTTTAAAAAGGAAGACAAAAACGAATACAAACTAATATAAAGGAGGAAAAAGAAAGCAGTCAAAAGAGGAAGCTAAAGGTGCAAGAAAGGAAAAAAAAGTGAATGAAAAATAGACCAGAAAGAAAGAAGATACAAGGAAGGAGCTTCCGGTCTTCTTTACAGCCGTTATAAGTACAATTATAAATTTACCTCTTACTCTGTGGTTACAACATAACCCTCTTCCTTCTATAATCTACTTTTTCTAATCAAAACCATAAATCATAAGTTCATTTTTTTCTGTTTCACACAAAAAGTCTATTGGGGTTTCCAGTCAGCCATAAACGTAGATATTGTCTTTTCTCTGATCAAAGAACTCAATTGAGCCATCTCTGCAAGTTCCATCATCTTCACCAACCCTCCCTCCATGGGGGGGAGCGCCAAATCTTTCCATCTTGGGCGTACAATAATCTCACTGCAGTTACCATGTGCAAAAACAGTTCTTAGCATTATAAAGGACTGACAGTCGCCTTGTCTCCTCCTGTGTACTGCTTCGAATGTTGTCTGTCTTTTTCTCCTTACAAAGGGCAGGGGTGAGAATTCCTGGGAGTGAAACACTCATCTTTTTGTCCCACCCTGCGAGATGGGTTGCTCCCGGCCCTCCCCGGTGGATTCACCAGACTCCCTCCCCTCACTGCAATCGGGGAAGGAAACAATTAGGTTCTTTTCCTCCTACATGCACACCCTGCACTGTCTCCTTGTCAAGAAAGCCATGGGAACGAGACCGTTTCTAAGCTAATGCTTCGGATTCGACTCTTTCTTCACCTGCTAGTTTTGGCTGGGTTCAGCTTCACATGTCTGCTTTTTGTGCCAACGGCAGTGCCGTGAATTCCTGGTGGTTTGCTGAGATTCTCTTTCCCTACCCAAATATGTTCTCGCAAGGAGGAGATCCAGTAAGGGAGAGAAAGAGAGAGAACATCTCTTAGTCTCTGCATATTCGTGGGCTTAGTTTTTTCATGTCTGTATGTGTTTGGATTGGCATTAATCAATGGCCGAGTCATCCAGAGGACTTGGTTAAGAGTATCATTTATCTCTGTGGCTGATAAAACCAAGAACATATTTTGGGGAAAGATAATGCCACTAGTCTCTGTCTTCAAGGATGCTGAAGCTCATGGAAATGAAGGGAGGCATGGAGTGTATTCATGGGTTCTTGGTGTTCTCTGAATCTAGTAGCAGGAAACCAACAAGCCCAGGGTTGAACCCAACGGTTCAACCCTGAGCTAGATATGTTCCCTACTATTGGAGAATTGGGTCCGTTCCAGTGCAACTTGGGAATGTCTGCAGGAAAACTCAGAGAATATCACAATGTCAACCGCCCAACTCTGAGCTGCTTTACTGTTGGATATATGATTCCATCTTGGCAGGTGTAGCACGGGGACTGAGAAAATAGAGCTCTGAATCAGGAAATCCCCAGCTGAAACCTCATGAACAGCAGCCTTTAGACAACTCTCGGTTAGC